ACATAATCTTGACCTGACAAAAGTCTGTAGCCAGATGTCATTCACAGGCCAACAGTTAGGAAGTCTGCACAAGACTCGAGAACTTGGGCAGTTTGTACCTTGTTGTGTGGCATCGGGTACCTCTGCTCCTGGCTCTGTCTGTCAGTCTTGATTGATGGGTCCCTCGGGTCGGCAGAGCGGCCTGGAGAGAGACACCTGTATGACCTTAAGCAAGTTATAAAATTCATCCAAGACTTGATTTTGTCATATGGAAGCTGGACTTTCCAGCATCAGCCTTCAAACTTACTGTGCAGATCAGATGATGTAGCGTTTATCAGAGGGCCCAGCAAAATATCTGGCATGTAAGTGTTCAGTAAATGTTTGGGTTGGCAGGTAGAATGCCCATGTGTACAGCTGGGAAGGTAGATTCCTTTGCATTTAGGCGTGGATTCCAGGAAGGTGGAATGCCCGAGTCTACAGGTGTGGGTTCCAGCATGCTTAATACCCCAGCATACAGGTGCGCGGGTTCCAGCAGATGGAATGCCTCAGTGTACAGGTGTGGATCCGGCCGGTGGAATGCCACAGTGTACGGGTGCAAGTCTGGCACGCTGAATGCCCGAATGTACAGGTGCAGAGCTGATGTGATTAGAGTGTACAGGCAGGACAGGTGGGGTGGGTAGGCACTAGGGCACATGGACGTTCTGGGTTACTTAATGCTGTGTTTCAGCAAGTGGCCTCCTTGCTCTTCCTGGAACATACTGTGCATGTTTCCATTTTACAGCCTTTGCACTTGTCCTTCGTTCTGCTTGGAACGTTCTTCCCCAGACATCCACGTGGATCTGACCTTCACTTCCTCAGGCCTCAGCTCTGATGTCACCTCCTCCAGAGGGGCCTCCCTGATCATACCTTCTAGAGAGCTCCTCCCTTTTCCTCTGTCACTCACCATGCCTCACTCTGCTTTGGTATAATTTTTATAGCACTGATCATTGCCGGATGTAATAAGTATTTATTTGTTTGCTGTCTATCTCTTCCTGTTAGAATGCAGTCCCACAGGCAGAGGAATTTGGTGCCAGGCACACAGTTTATCTTTATTGATTGACTGGTGAGATGAATGGATGTGACCTTCACCATGGTAATCATTGATCATAGCAGCAAATATTTAAGCACCAACTGTAAGTCCTGCATTCTGCTGAGTGCTTTGATGCGGTGGTTAAGTGCTTGGCTGCTAACTGAAAGGTCGGTGATTCGAACCCACCAACTGCTCCATGGGAGAAAAATATGACAGTCTGCTTCCATAAAGATTACAGCCTAGGCATAAACAGAATATGAGTCATAACTAACAATGCGCAAACACCAGAAGAGAAACTAGATAACTGGGAGCTCCTAAAAATCAAACACTTATGCTCATCAAAAGACTTCACCAAAACAGTCAAAAGACAACCTACAGACTGGGGAAAAAATTTTGGGCTATGACAGATCTGATCAGCGTCTAACCTCTAAAGTCTACAAGATACTGCAAAATTTCAACAACTAAAAGACAAAGAACACGGTTAAAAAATGGGCAAAAGATATGAACAAGCCACTTCACCAAAGAAGACATTCAAGTGGCTAACAGACACATGAGGAAATACGATCATTAGCCATTAGAGATGCACATAAAAACTACAGTGAGATATCATCTCACCGCAGAAAGGCTAGCATTAATCCAAAAAACACAAAATAATAAATGTTGGAGAGGTTGTGGAGAGACTGGAACACTTATACACTGTTGTTGGGCATGTAAAATGGTACAACCACTTTGGAAATCAATTTGGCACTTCCTTTTAAAAAGCTAGAAATAGAAGTACCATACAATCCAGTAATCCCTCACCTTGGAATATATCCTAGAGAAAAATAAGAGCCGTCGCATTAATAGATATATGCACACCCATGTTCATTGTAGCACTGTTGACGATAGCAAAAAGATGGAAAGAAACTAGGTGCCCATTAACGGACAAATGGATAAACAAATTGTGGTATATTCACACAATGGAATACTACGCAATGATAAAGAACAATGATGAATCCATGAAACATAACATGGAGGAATCTGGAAGGCATTATGCTGAGTGAATTTAGTCAGTCACAAAAGGATAAATATTGTATAAGACCACTATTATAAGAACTCAAGAAAAGGTTTAAACACAGAAGAAAGCATTCTTTGATGGTTATGAGGGTGGGGAGGGACGGAGAGGGGTATTCACTAACTAGAGAGTAGACAAAAATTATCTTAGGTGAAGGGAAGGACAGCGCACACTACAGGGGAAGTCAGCACAACTGGACTAAACCAAAGCTAAGAAGTTTCCTGAATACACTCAAACACTTGGAGGGACAGAGTAGCAGTGGCAGGAGTCTGGGGACCATGGTTTCAGGGAACATCTAGGTCAGTTGGCATAACAAAGTTTATTAAGAAAATATTCTGCATCCTACTTTGGTGAGTGGCGTCTGGGGTCTTAAAAGCTAGCAAGCGGCCATCTAAGATGCATGAATTGGTCCCAACTCACCTGGAGTAAAGGAGAATGAAGAACACAAAGACACAAGGAAAGTATTAGCCCAAGAGACAGAAAGTACCACATGAACCAGAGACTGCATCAGCCTGAGATCAGAAGAACTAGATGGTGCCCGGCTACCACCAATGACCACCCTGACAGGGAACACAACAGAGAGTCCTTGAAGGAGCAGGAGAAAAGTGGGGTGCAGAACTCAAATTCTAGTAAAAAGACCAGACTTAATGGTCTGAGTCAGACTGGAGGATCCCCAGAAAGCATGGTCCTTGGCCAGCTCTTCAAAGATTAGACTGGATTATGGGATATAAAATGATGCTCGTGAAGAGAGTGCTTCTTAGCTCAAGTAGATACATGAGACTAAATGGGCAGCTCCTGTCCGGGGGTGAGATGAGAAGGCATAGAGGGTCAGGAGCTGATGGCATGGACATGGGAAATCGGGTGGAAAGGAGGAGGGGCTGTCACAGTATAGGGAGAGCAGTTAGGGTCACATGACAATGTATGTATAAAGTTTTGTATGAGAGACTAACTTGAATTGTAAACTTTCACGTGAAGTACAACAATAAAAAAAGATCTTACAGCCTAGGATACCCTATGGAACAGTTCCACTCTGTCCTGTAGTGCCACTATGAGTCAGAATCGACTCAACAGCATAAAACAACAATAACATCTACAACAATAAAAAAAAAAGTTCATTAAGAAAATGTTCTGCATCCCACCTTTGTGAGTGGCATCTGGGGTCTAGCGAGCAGCCATCTAAGATGCATCAATTGGTCCCAACTACATGGAGTAAAGGACAATGAAGAACACCAAAGACACAAGGAAGGTATTAGCCCAAGGTCTGAAAGGGCCACATAGACCAGGGACTTCATCAGCCTGAGACCAGAAGAACCGGATGGTGCCTGGCTACCACCAGTGACCGCCCTAACGGGGGACAGAACAGAGAGTCATTGATGGAGCAGGGGAAGGGTGGGGTGCAGAACTCAAATTCTAGTAAAAAGACTAGACTTAATGTCTGACTGAGACTGGCGCACCCCAGAAAGCATGGCCCCCAGACTCTCTGTCAACCCAGAACTAAAACCATTCCCAAGGCCAACTCTTCAGACAATGATTAGACTGGACTATGGGACATAAAATGATACTCGTGAAGAGTGTGCATCTTTGCTCAAGTAGATACATGAGACTAAATGGGCAACTTCTGTCTGGAGGTGAGATGAGAAGGCAGAGAGGGTTAGGAGCTGGTTGAATGGACATGGGAAATCAGGTGTGGAAAGGAGGAGTGTGCTGTCACAGTATAGGGAGAGCAACTAGGGTTAACATAACAATGTGTGTATAAATTTTTGTACGAGAAACTAGAATTGTAAACTTTCACTTAAAGCACAATAAAAAAAAATTGCACTTGAAAAAAAAATCTCCTTCAACCCTCACATCAGCTCCGTAAGCTTGGCCCAATTTACTGTGTCCCCGTTTTCTGGATGGGGAAATGGAAGCCCTGGAAGCATGGGCAGTGGGTGGCGTGGATGCGGTGGATCTGGCATTTGAACCTCCGTCTGACCCCAGTGCTCTAGCTGGGACTCCAGGCTGGGTCCCTGGCCTATGCTGGGAAGGGGGAGGCAGGTGTGTATTTTGGCCCCAGGCTGTAGAGTCAGACAAGCATCTGTATCCTGGGCTGGATCCGTTCCTGTGCGATGTGGGGAACACAGGCGGCCAGGGAGGCTTGGCTGCTCTCACCCCCCGCCCCTGCCCTCACTGCTGTTGTTGTTAGGTGCCATCAAGTCAGTTCTGACTCATAGTGACCTTATGTACAACAGAATGAAACATTGCCCGGTCCTGTGCCATCCTCACAATCGTTGTTATGTTTGAGCCCATTGTTGCAGCCACTTTGTCAGTCCATCTTGTTGAAAGTCTTCCTCTTTTTTTTTCTGACCCTCTATTTTACCAAACATGATGTCCTTCTCCAGGGACTGGTCCCTCCTGATAACATGTCCAAAGTATGTGAGACGAAGTCTTGCTATCCTCACTTCTAAGGAGCATTCTAGCCATACTTCCTCCAAGACAGAGTTGTTCGTTCTTCTGGGAGTCCATGGTATATTCATTCAGTAGTCTTTGCCATCACCAAAATCCAAATGCGTCAATTCTTCAGTCTTCCTTATTCATTGTCCAGCTTTTGCATGCATACGAGGTGATTGAAAAGACCATGGCTTGGGTCAGGCGCATCTTAGTCCTCTCTGAGAGGGAGAGAAGAGTCTCACCTTCTAGCTCGCTGTAACAGGAACTGCCAGGAGGCCGCCCTAGCCAGCCCCTGCCCACCCCCCACCCCCACCCCCACCTTGGTTTGCAAAACTGTGAGCTTGGTGGGGAAATACTAACCACAGTGAAGACTCATTTGCAAAGGTAAAGCAGGGTTGGGCTGGGGGGGCTTTTCTGTCCCACAGAAGGGACTGACTCCCCAGGCTGGCTGTCTTGCGGGAACCTGTTGTACCCCACCATTGTGCTTGAGAGTTTGGAGTTACCAGCTGCAGTCTTTATTGTGTTGGCCTGAGTCTTTTCCTGTGATAAATGGGAGAATAATAATATCGTGGCCGGATTGTAAAGCCTTCGTGCACTAAGTTGCTGTGAACACGTGGTGCATCTTAGCCTTTCTTACTATGGTGGTGCTTGTGGCTAACACACTCAGTCTTCTCTCCTGGCCTCTGCTCTGTGCAGTACCTGCTTTTTAGGAATAATCCTCTGATTAAGCAACAAGGGGTAAAGGAATACCCCCTAATGTGTGTGTTTCTTTTCCCCATCAAGCAGAATTTCCGGTTTTCATCGTACTTCGTGAGCAATCTGGTATTTGGTTGATCAAGTGCATGTTGCGGGCCAGACCCTGTTCCCACAAAGCTGAAGAATGAAATGAGGGCCCATCCTCTTGCCTCGGGTCTGGTGGAGGCTCCAGTGGGTGACCAGTTAGCTGTAAGAGAACAGGCTAAGTGCCAGAATAGGAAGGTGTTAACTTGCTGGAGGCCCCGGCATCTGGCCAGTCACCCTCTTGGGGCCTTTTCTTTGCCCAGCTTGGTGCTGGGGCCACTGTGGTGACAGAGGGGAATGAATAAGTACTGTAAAATTTGATGAGAACCTGGAAAGGGGAAGTCCAGAAGAGGAAGGGAAGCCCTTGCAGAAAGCAGACGTTTGTGTGGGGCCCTAAAGCCGAGCTAGATGGCCTTTCCTGCTCACAGAGCCTTCATAGATCCCAGTGAACCTGTAGCCCTTCCCTGCAGAGGACACACAGCGTGAGGACACTGTGCTTGGGTTCATGGACCCCACGAAGGCTTGTGAACCCCAGAGTGGAAATCGCTCCTTTAAAGAATGAGGGCTGTACCCTCAGAGGAAGGCTTTCTGGGCCAGAACGCTGGGTAGGCCACGGCCAAGGTGTCGGTGGAGATTCACCCAGTGCTCTGGGAAGAGTGTCTGGAAGGTCAGGGCTGCTTCTTGCAGTCTGTCCATCCCCCTCTGAGCCCTTTCCTGGATCATGGCTCCATCATTCTCTCCCAGGGCCATGGGCCAGTGTTCTGGCCGACACAGCCAGAGAGTGAGGGGCTGCCCCGCTGTGGGAAGGCACCCAGAAATCCCCTAGTCTCTCCTGTTGATCACTAACGAGGCGGAAAGGTGCTTTGCCTGTCCGATCTGACGGCTTACTTTGGCCTTCAGAGCAGTGAGTACTTTTGGCATCTCTCTCTGCCCGCAGGCTTGGCTTCAGAGATGATCCACCATCAGCCAGAATCTAACCTGTTCACCCCAAGGACTTCTGAGAGGTCACTCTTTGTGACAGCTCCCTTGTAATGGGCAAATGGAGGGGAAGTAGCCAGGCTCACCTGTTCTCCACTCCTCTCACCTGCCTCACCTAATGCCTGTGGCGCCAAGCCCGGCCAGGTGGCCATGAATGAATGACTCACCTTCTGGAGCCTGCTCTGGGAAGTGGTTGATTTTCCCAAGCAGGGACAGATTGTCCAGTAAGCAAGGTAAGCACAGACTTTCTTGTGCTTACTTACTAATCTGTAGTGAACAATTAAACAAGGATTTCACCTCATGTTTAAAACTCGTGAAATTGTTCACTACAGATTAGCAAGTAAGCACAAGTAAGCCCGTGCTTACATTCCTAGATCATCCACCCCTGTCAGGGACTGTAAATTTGAAAAGAGGCTTTGATTTTGTAGGAAGATGTTTTGGGGTTGGGAGACAGACAGATGTCAGCCATACCTAGAAGTAGAGTCTTTGATGTGGTGAAAAAATGTGAAGTTGTTCACTGCAAGGTTGGCCAAAGGATTAAAGTAACTATGAAGTCTGCCTCGGCACCTACTAAATATTCAGTAGGAAGGTTTGGCCTGTTCTCTGTTCATGTCAGGCATTTCTGCCCTGAACTTTACCTGGGCAGGGCTCTGTTTTCTACAGGATGGTCTTTCAGCCTGCGGGAGGGGCTCAACCTGGGAACCAGTGTGGGTGGTGCTGGAGACCGCTGGCTCTGGAGCGGGCTGGCAGGGCTTGGATGCAGCTCACACATCCTGCCTGAGCCTCAGTATCCTCTTCTGCAAAGTGGAGATGATGGTACTAGTGTCACTGAGGGGGCTGTGGGAAGAACCCCTGAGTTGATGAACATCAAGCATTGAGCATGGAGGTCCATCCACCATGAGTTCTCAGAAGCATCCCCAGCCCCAGGCAGGATCTAGCTGGGCCAGGACAAGGTCCGAGCAGGGCTGGGAGGTCTTCTTTGGAGGGGAACTAGTTCCCATTCCAAAGATATCCCGGACTTCTCTGACGGGGAACTTCTTTAACAAAACTCCTGTCAGTCCCTGAAGGACCTGGGTTTTTAGCTGACGATACTGTTTGTTTTTTAAAGTGAATTCTGAGTTCCTTTTGGGTGGATAAGGAGGAGGTCTTTGTCCTTTGCAGACATCTCTGCACTGTGCTGATGACGCGTTAAAGTCTTTGCCATAATCTACTCTCAGGGCCTAAATTAGATGCCAGAGGACCAGTGGAAGGGGCCATGGTTTCACAGGGGCTGCTTTTCTGGAAGTGGTGGCTCCCAGTGGGGAAGTGTCTGGGCTTTGTGGTCCCACTTGCTAGGCTGGGTGTCAGTTCTGCCACCGATTGCCTATGGGACCTTGGACAAACTCCCTGTCTGCTCTGATGAGCCTTGGTTTTCACAGCCAGGGTGCTCCTTAGAGGCGAGGATAGCGAGACTTCATTTCATGTACTTTGGACATGTTATCAGGAGGGACCAGTCCCTGGAGAAGGACATTATGCATGGTAAAGCAGAGTGTCAGCAAAAAAAAAAAAAAACAAAGACCCTCAACAAGATGGATTGACAGAGTGGCTGCAATGATGGCCTCAAGCATAGCAACGATTGTGAGGATGGCGCAGGACTGAGTAGTGTTTCATTCTGTTGTACCTAGGGTCACTATGAGTCAGAACCAACTCGACGGCATCTGACAACAACAGCAAGATAGGCGTAATAATGACTCCTGCATCGTAGGGTTGCTGAGACCCTGAAATGAGATAATTCAGGTAAATCAATTGATAATGTGCCTTACACACAGTCAATACTCAGTAAATGGCAGCTGTTGATAATAATAATGAAAATAATAAGAGCAACCTGTTGTTACCCATCTATACTTTCCCTCCAGGGGCACAAAGGGAAGGACCAGAACCTTCATGTCCACTAGGGTGTTCTTGTGAGGCATTGGTGGTTCAGTGGTAGAATTCTTGCCTTACATGTAGGAGACCTGGGTTTGATTCCCAGCAAATGCACCTCATGCGCAGCCACCACCTGTCAGTGGAGGCTTGTGTGTTGCTGTGATGCTGAATAAGCTTCAATGGAGTTTCCTGACGAAGGTGGACAAAAAGAAAGGCATGGCAATCTACTTCTGAAAATCAGCTAATGAAAACCCTATGGATCGCAACAGTTCAATCTACAACCAATCATCGGGATGGTACAGGGCCAGGTAGTGTTTTGTTCCGTTGCGTATGGGGTTGTCATGAGTGAGGAGCCGACTCAACAGCAGCTAAAGTCAACAACAACAACAGTGTTTGTTTTTTTTTTTTTAATTTAATTTTATCATTGTACTTTAAGTGAAAGTTTACAATTCAAGCTAGTCTCTCATTCAAAACTTTGTAGATACATTGCTATGTGACCCTAATTGCTCTCCCCACACTGTGACAGCACACTCCTCCTTTCCGCCCTTGATTTCCAGTGTCCATTCAGCCAGCTCCTGACCCTCTCTGCAGTCTCATCTCACCTCTGGACAGTAGCTGCCCATTTAGTCTCATGTATCTACTTGAGCTAAGAAGCACACTCTTCACGAGTATCATTTTATGTTCTGTAGTTCAGTCTAATCTTTGTCTGAAGAGTTGGCCTCGGGAATGGTTTTAGTGCTGAGTTGACAGAGAGTCCGGGCACCATGCTCTTTGGGGTTCCTCCAGTCTCGGTCAGGCCATTAAGTCTGATCTTTTCACTAGAATTTGAATTCTGCATCCCGCTTTTCTCCTTCTCCAACATGGACTCTGTTGTGTTCCCTGTCAGGGCGGTCATTGGTGGTAGCTAGGCACCATCTAGTTCTTCTGGTCTCAGGCTGCCAACAGTGTTTTTTATGCCCTCAGGTACTCTCAGAATGCCACTGTGGACCCAGTCCTTGCACTTTACAGATGGGGAAACTGAGGCCCAGAGAGGTAAAATGACTCTTCCAAGGTCACATAGTAAGCTTATGGCAGAGGTGGGACATGAACCCTCTGCTCTGCTGAATTGCTCACTCTAATTGGCCCTTGAGTTGACCACAGGCACTTGTTCTCATTTCTGGAGCCAAGAGGTTCTTGCTGTTGGGCCACTGACCAGTTGCAGGGGAGAGGACATCTGATTTCATCCTCCCCTGTGTAGGGGTGAATAGTGCAGGCTCTGGAGCCAGACCAGGCAGGCTTGGATCCTGGCTTGACCAGTGTGACCTTGGGCAAGTCATTGACTGAATTGCTCTGCCTCAGTTTCCCATTTATGGAATGGAGGTGATAATCTCAGTCTCACGCAAGCACTCTCGTCAGAATGCCTGACATGTACTCGATGTTTATGTAAATGCAGCTTCTTCCTTTTTCTCCTCTTTGGTTTTCTCTGAAGCCAAGAGGTCCATGGTGGGAGATGAAGACCGATCTTTTCCTTCGGACCATTCAGCATCAGTCAAACCTTTAGAATATTCTCTACCCCAACTGGTCAGAGTTCAGATAATTGTCTATATTGTCAGAACCTTTCTTTTAATAAAAGACGAAGTATAAAGTTCAAAGAAAGACAAGAATTTGTATATATGCGGTGCCACTCGTTAGAGGGAAGGATGTGACGGAATGACAGGGTGTGGTTAAAAGGAGAATCCATATCAACTCTTCTGCCGGTGCTGAGTGAGCTTAAACTCCTTGTGGACGGTCCTAGGAATTGAGTTCCATCTGTCTTGTAGCTGTGATCTTTGCCCTTCCCACATGATTGGGCCCCTGTGCTAGGCCCAGCTCAGGCCCGGTGGGGCACTTCCTCTGGGTTTCAGTGACTGGCTTATCAGAAGGCAGCATGAGCATCTATTTCTGGCCTGGGCTCAAAATAATATGGATACTGGCAGAAGGCCGAGCGCAGAATTGGTTTGTAGGATGCAGAAGTAGCAAACAGGGAGAGGGGTAAGAAATGGTCTTCTCCGAGGGTAGACCAGGCAGGCCTCCAGGTGCCATGACAAGGCCTGATTTGCAGACAGTGCCTGGGGATCTTTGAACCAAGGATAGGAAAGTGACTCCTTCCTCACTTCCCTTCGCTCTTTCTGATCAGGTCAACGAAACCATCTGTCTGGTACTAATCTCTCTCTTTTTTTTCTTTCTTGATAACTGTATGTTCTTTTTATTTATTTTTGTTGTGTTGACGATATACATAGCAGAACATACACCAATTCAACGGTTTCTACATGTACAGTTTAGTGACAGTGATTACATTCTTCCAGTTCTGCAACCATTCTCACTCTCCTTTTCTAAGTTATTCTTCCTCCATTAACATAAACTCCCTGCCCCCTAAAGTTGCTGTCTAATCTTTCAAGTTGCTGTTGTCAGTTTGATCCCATATAGATAATTCTTAAAAAAGCACGATGCTCAAGGTAGACTTTCTTTACTAATGAAGCTAAACAGTTGTTTGGTTTAAAGAAGACTTCAGGGGATATTTTTGGTTTAAGGTTTAAAGATTACCTTAGGGCAATAACTGTGTATTTTTTTTTTTATTATTAAAGTTTTTCTGAGATAATTATAGATGCACATGCAGTTGTAAGAAATAACAAAGGGAGATCTCGTGTAGACTTTACCCGTTTCCCCTGAAGGTAACATTTTGCAAGATGATGGTACAATGTAACCAGGATATTGACATTGATACAATCTACCACCTATTGGATCCAGATTTCCTGTTTGATTTGTACTTGTTTGTATGTGTATATGTAGTTCTTTGCAATTTGACTACCTGTATAGATTCTTGTAACTACCACCACAGTCAGAAGAGTGAACAGTTCTTTCACCCCGAGGACCCCTTGAGTTGTCCCTTTTCTAACCACACCCACCTCCCACCTGCCACGGCCCCATTTGTTCTCCAGTTCTAAATTTTTGGTGTTATAAAGATATGTATAACACAACATTTGCCCATTCAGTGTTTCTCACGTGTACAGTTTAGTGATACCACTTACATTCATCATGGTACGCAACCATCACCACTAGTTGTTGTCAAATTTTCCATCACCATAAACAGAAACTCACTGCTTCCTAAACAATGTCCAGTTCTAAAATTTGAATATGTCTTTTCTGGAAAGACGTATATATATATTTTATTAATAAGGGGTAACATTCATATTCTGCTGCAAAAGGCCTCTTTAAAGTGTTTAAAAGTATAGATGTCACCTGGAAGACTAAGGTGCACCCAACTCAAGCCATAGTGTTTTCAGTTGCCTCATATGCATGTGAAAGCTGGAT